AGTGAGAGACTTTTTCATATAAGCTGCCAACCTGCTTTGATCATAAACTCTGCATTTAACATGATGCTTACATATAAATCCTATTGCAATGACGTCAGAGCCTCCCAATCCCATTTTAGCAGCAATTAAAGGGTAATGCTCAGAGAACCGTTTCTCTGTATACTGTAGGAGTTTCAGCAGTGCTGTTATTACTTTTGAGGGGGAATTGTGCAGGCTCCTTGTCAATTGGTTTAGGTTGCCTAAATGAAGCCAAATTGCTGTTACCATCCCCAGCTGCTGCTGCTGCCTGCACGTTCCACCTTCCCCACAGTCACTTTAATCCATCAGCCAAGAGCAAAACAACCTTCCCTCCGTGCACCTCCTGCAAACAGGGCAGGGAAAAAACCCACGGGAGGAAAAAAAAAAAACGACACATCACTTGCAGCATTTTTACATGTAATAGTAACAGTCTCTTGGTGCCATCATCAGCCATGGCATTTCATTCACACAGAACGCTTGTGGGCACATCACATATGCTTTTCCATTCAATGTATTTTTAAATGTTTCCCAGGCAACTGTTTCAATACAATATGCCTCCTTGGCAACCCGGTACCCGCAAATGCCACGCTCAGTTCTCCCTAGGCCTCTTTTTAGGTCTTCCCATCTTGGCATATAAATGTCACAAGGCTGGGTTTTCCATACCCAGCCACACAGGTACTGACTGTCCTCACACTTGGCCAGGGAAGGCTGAGCTGAAGGGATGAGTCGGGCACTGGGCGCTGCATGTTGACAAATTCAGCTCTGCTGAGCTCCCAGGGGAGCAGCTTTCAAAGGCAGTGACTCTGCATGGAAAAGAGAATGCCTCCTGCAACTAAAATTAGGGAGAGCCTACAGAACTGTCTCCACTCAACTGACTTGCTCTGGAAACAGCAGCGAGCCTGCACTTCTGCAACTGAAACCGCACGTCATCCTCCTTCTCCTGGCTGTGCCAGAGGAAGCTCACACAGCTTTGCTCGCTCTCACATTGGTGAGGAGAGCCAGCCTTTCCCATTTCAGAGCAGACAGTGACTGGCACTGGACTGAGCGGGGCACTGTGACCAAGCCACTCTTCCCAGGGCTGTGTTTGCTGGCTCTGGGCTGTCAGGACACACCATACAGTCCATGTGTGCAGCAGCTCTCCCTGCTGCTCTGCAGGCTGGGGTCTCCTTGGGGACATTGTCCTTTATCACACCGAGCAGAATGGACATGCTCATCCTTGAGTGAAGTCACAGACTACTTGACAAGGACAAAAAACGATCACCATGTACTCCTAACCCAAGCACTGATTAGATAAAATAATTAAAACATAATGTTTCGATTTTCTAGCAAGGCACAACTTATTCCAAACATCTTTATCGAACCCAGGAGCTATCAGTACAGACCCAAAGATACTGCAGAAGGACTAAAGCTATCTGTGAGCATCAGTCACCACCAAAAAAAAAAAAAAAAAAAAAAAGTTTCAATAAAAACTGCATGTGCTTCAGCCTCAAAGTGGTACATTAAAAAAAATGATAGCTCCTGCATGCAGTGACATCAGGCTCTGAGAGAAACCCAGCAGAAACTATGGTATCTCTTCTTCATTGATTACTCCATAACAACAGCTGAAAATTACAATTTTTCCAGGCTATAAAATGCCGAGCACTCCAAATTCTACACCGGCAGCAAAAATCTCCTCCCTGTCTGTGAGCTGCTGGATCTGTAATAGAGACCCTGCATTACCAGGCTTTCTAATTCTTCCCAAATGCAGAAGCTCTCATTCAATGCTGCAGCTGTTGGGGAGGAAATCAGAAATAGCAGAAGGCGGATTAGTTGATAATGTACCAGTTCTTCCCCAGCAAATGCTGGCACCTGCGTTTTACACTCTCTGCTTTCCCTCAGCCCAGGAAAAGATCACTTGGTTTGTTTGGCAGGCAATTTATAGGCTTTAGTGATTGTGGAGTTGCAAAAGGATTAGAATTTGTTATAATAGCCCCTTCTTCCTGAGAGCAAAAGTTAAAACTGAGGCCCACTTTGGAGCAAGGACCAGGGACCATGTAAGTAAAGATTAAGCGTGTGCAGCTTGATGAGACTCAACGGGGAAGAGATAACTACACATGCTGGCACTCCATTTACAAGGAAATCCCTGCAGATAATCTGTAGGAGCATTCTGGCTTCCACAGGCTCAAATCCCTTGACCACTGGCTCCAGTCCAGCCAAGGCTGATTATGGTAAAGACTGCTCTCTGCATTCCTAGGAGAACTTTTTTCCTAAAACATTCTAATTATTAAATTACGCAAGACCCAAGGTCAAGTGAGAAGTAACAGGATTCCCATGCAGTGGAGGAAATGGTAGATAGGATCTTGTGCAAAGTGGCAAAGCCAAGAACGGGTCCCAGTCCACACTTCACCTTCATATTCTTAGTACATCATTAATTCTGGAAAGATGCAGTTGATAAATACTGAGTACCCTGAGTGGCTAAAGGTTTCTAGCATGCTAGTTGGAAATCCACAGGTAGAGCAAGAATGAGAACATTCACGACATGCCTGCCCTCCCAGGTTAGAATGGGTGTGCATTAAACAGATAACCAAAAAATCTTACCATTTTCAGTTAAATCCACAAAACACAAACCCACCCACAAAGCCCAGCTGCTCCAGAAGCAAGGTTTTCCCTGCTGCTTTTCACAACCAGAAGCTGCAGTAATAATTTTCACTGTTCTTTTTCTCATATTCTTTCATTTGTGGCCCTCAGTGCACAATAACCAGCTTTCATGTTCACTCCCAGCACAGCTCTTGCCAACGCTGCAGTGCCCGGCTGAGGCACCACAGGGCAGCCCCTTCAGCACCAACAACTCCTGCACTCCTGAGGGCTGGGCTGGGAGAGGTCACACCTAACAACAGCGACCTGTGGGTGCTACACCTGGTTTAGGAGCAGAGGATTGCCACAGCGGTATAAAACACCAACCCAAACATCACAGGAATAAAAGATGCCCTGTGGCATAAGCAGTCACGGACACAGGTACCCCTACAAGAGTGTTCGAGGCTCAGTCTGAGAGATTAAATCCCCATTTCTGCATAGTTTGCTGCCTCCACGTGGCCACAGCCAGGGCCACGATTCACAGCGATCTTGAGCAAAAACCCCAAGGAACACTTCTTCAACTCATTGTGAAATCCAATTTCTACCCCTCCTCTGTCATCTCATTTCCCACCCCTCCCGTGATCGATCCCCTCTCCAATCTCCATTTTTGCTTTATTTACACACACTCCCTCTTGCCGTTCTTTGCTCCATCCCTGCTGCCATCACCTTCCTCTCCACAGCAGGCCTAACACCCTCAGATCCCAACTCACCCCTTGCCCCTGTTCAGCTTACCTTGTTCCACCTGCAACTTCTGGGAGAACGCCCTTCCCGACAAAGGAGGAGAGGAGGACCTATTTCCTGGGATCTCGTTTCACACACTGGGAAGCAGCTTCTGAATGGCAACCAAAATGACAGGCAGAACACTGTGACTGTCCTGGTGTTCCCTTGGCACTGCAGGAGCTGTAACAGATATTAAAGTGGGAAAATGTTAGTCTGTGTGAGAGCAGCTGGCTTTTCCACCGTCATTTCTTTCCCATGTTCATTCTCATTTTAGTCTGCCCATCACACAGCTGAAATGCTGGCACTCTGCTGTGACTATTTGTTATTATTTTTACTTTTCAGCTGGGCTGTCTGTTGTAGAAGCTGATACAAATCCCAGCAGTAACCAAACACTTCCCACTTCCAACACCTTTATCCTCACTCTTATACAAAAAAGAGACCCATTAATGCTATAAATGTTAAGAAATCAGTTATCCCATAGAGTCAAAGACATGATGGACTCACAGAAATACCAAGTACCTGAGTTAATACGGGAAAGGTGAAAGCTGGGCTGAGCCTCCCAGATCCTGGGCTGCACTGACTGGATCATCTTCAGCTGGAAAACCACGGGGTGTGCGTGGCTGGAGCTGTCCCCGCTCGGGTTCAATCCACCAGCCCAGGGGGAATGCGAATCTCAAACTCTGACACCCAAATGCCACTTTCAAGGTTCAGATCTCAAGACGTGTTTGAAGTCAGGTTAAAGTAATGACTTTTCGCTGGGCTGTGTGATCAACATGATAATTCACAGGTGTGACTAAAGCACAGTCAATATTGATGCCTCCTTTTCGCTCGGAAGAATTCAAGGATGAAACAGTCCACAGACACCCAGTGGTGGTGCACAAATTCAGTTGCGGAAAAGGAATGTGAACTCGGATTCATTTTTTACCAATAATAACTCGGTTTTATGGAAAAGGCCGCTTTGCACCCCGCTCTCCCTCATAAACACCTGTTACCAAACAGGATTTTTTTTATTTCCTCGCACAATTATTCTCATATTCGACCGTGAAGAATTTAAACAGCAGAGTCACTTTGTGATTCTTTCATCTACCGCTGGAGGACGAAGTGTGTGTCACCGTTTCCCTGACGTGTTTTTGAGAAGGCCAGACGAGCGCTTTAAACCCACCCTAACACGCTCTTTATTTCGAGTCACCCAGCGACATTCCCGCCAGCAACGTCAAACCGCATCACTTCAGACTCTTTCCCGAAAGATAATAAGTTAGAGCGGCGGTGGCTGCCGGTGTTTGTAATTTGGGTGCCCAGCGGCAGCCGCGGCCCGGCCCAGGCTCGGCGGGGCCATGGCGGCAGCGCTCGGCCCGCCGCCATCTTGTGCCCTCAGCGCCGGGGGCTCCCGAGCACACCGAACCGCTGCGGACACAGCACCGGCGAGCGCCAAAACCAGCACAAACAGGGCTGTTCTCCGAGGCAGACCAGCCCCCTCAGGCGAGACGGGCCTGTGGAAGGGCGGGCGCGCTCCCCTCAGGGCGCCCTCCCCTCAGGGCGCCCTCAGAGCCTCCCCGCCCCGCGCCGTGAGGGCGGCTCTGAGGGCGGAGAGGCGCGGCCGTGGCGGCGGGCCAGGAGGAGGGAGGCGGGAGGAGGAGACCTCGCCGCCCGCAGCGCCGTCCCCCGGCGAGGCGCGGGGAGCCCCGGCCATGGGCGAGGAAGGAGCGGCCAAGCTGCGCCTGAAGCCCCGCGCGGCGCCGCCCGGCCCCGGCCCCGGCCCCGGCCCAGAGACACCCCCGCGCCGCCCGTGAGTCGGGGCCGGGGGGATCGCACCGGGCCGGGTCAACGAACACCGCGGGCATCGGAGGGGATCGGAGGGGATGGATTCGGGGGGCACCGGGCGGGATCAGATCGGCTCCGGAGCCCGGAGCGCCTCGCCCGGGCCGGGCCTGCACGGCCCCCTCGACCCGCGGCCCTCAGATCGGGGCCTCGTTACTGACTGTGTTAAAGGTTATTTCATAAAACACCCCCTGTAGCGCCTTTAAAAATAGACACAAAGCTGCAGCATAAAGCACAGCGGGCCCTGGGCCCGAAGGCTGAGGCAGTGAGGGGCTGGGTTCTTGTCTGAAGCCGTGGGGACGAGCCCTCATGCCGTGTCCCCTCCACAGAGGCTGAGGGGCTTCATCACTCCGCTCTTTGAGGGCTTGTAGTTTCTAATTTCTTCTAATTTCTTCTCAGTGCAGCTTCATTCCTGCACACTGATCCGAGAAAACACATCAGAAAGAAGCGGGAACGCTGGAAATAGCATTGTGACATTAGCAATCCATCCTTCTCTTTGGAATTGTCTTTCTACGGCATTACTCGTATAAAACCCTTTTAATGCTTGTAGTTAAACTTCCTAAAGCCTTCCTAGGACCCATTAAATCAAGTTGTTTGGAAAGAGAATTTCCAATGGCAGTATGGGAATGGCCAGGAATTCGTAGGAACCAATGCAATTGCCACCCTCAGTGCAAACATTTCCATGATTTCTGTGCTCAGCAGGCGTCAAGTTCAGTATTTGAGAAACAACCCCAGTATCTGCACTGCACTGTTTCACTTGGAAGTGAAGACAGTAATAAACATCCACAGCTCATTTGTTACAAGGAGGAAAGAGGGTGTTTAGACAGTAATTTAAAAAAAATTGGATTTTTTTTTATTGCAGTACAAGTTATGTAAGTCATAGGAAGCTGTAAAAATTAGTTTACAGGTTAAATAATGTCTTTGTGTTGCAGAAAAAAGGAGGCAAACTAATACCAATGCAGAGTTTTTTCTTTCCTCTCTCCCACCCTCAAACCCCTGTGTCTGTCTTTCCAGGACGTCGACTGACAGATGTCCCTGGTTTGAAAAGGAAGACTTAAATGAGTGTGAAAAAACCTGGATTTTGTTACTGAAAGACATCAGTCGAGATCTGCACTGCACAAACTGGGACACGGTGCCCAGCCTTCCGGAGTTCTTGGAAAAGGTAGCGTGCTGTATCCTTGGTTTGTGCACTTTGTGTCCTGCTTCCAACAGCAGCAGCCTGGATGATGGGGAAACCACCTGCCAGAGCCTTCCGAGCTGTGAGGTTCCAGCCCTTTGATCTCCACATGTAATGATGTGGCAGCAGTGGAAGGGCAGCTACCACAGGGTTGTTTTTTCTCAGTATGGCAAATCCTTTCCAACGTTTCGCTGGGAAGAGGGGGCCTGTGTAGGGATGGCGACTGCCCCGAGCACCAGGATCTTCCTGAGGAATGGGAGTGGGAAAGGCAGACTGTAACAGAGGGTTAATGACACAGGAACCACCCTGGCATCGCCCCGATAGCGCTGGGCAAGGCCACGACACAGAAATCAGTCCTTATAAAGCACTTTTTGTCTCGAGGTGGTTGTTTTTGTCCTCAGTCTCTCTGGAACATACCGAGTCCCCACTGTATCCATTTAGAAATGTTAAGGGAAGACACATATTCCATCAGCTCCAGGAAGCTCTTGATTGCTTTATGTGTGCTGGACAGGGATGGAAATCAAATGTTCTTCACTGTAGCTCAGCCTTCTCAGTATCTGCAGTGTGTTCACTTCATGTGCTGATTGAGCTGCATCTGTTTGGGGCATGCTCTGTGTGTTGTAGGGTGCTGAGGAGGAGAGTCCAGGACACCAGGAAGTCTTCACAGCAGGAATGAGAGACTTTCCATGGGTGCCATTCCCACCTTTTCACATGGAACAGTGTCTGGACCCCAAGGATTTCAGCTCCCAGAGCCAGAGCAACGAGTCACGTACAGGGTGGGGCCAAGCAGATCAGCTTCCCAGTTTATCACCCACAGCTGAGGACACCTGCAGGGGCACCAGTACAGAGCAAGGCAAAACCACAGCTGGGGAAGGCACAAAAGGCATTTCCAACCCTGGAGCGAGTCCTGAGCCACGAGAACTCCCTGGACACAGGAGCTCTGCACAGCCCTGGGCACCAGGCTCTGTGAGAGCTTCCAGGCCCCAGCAGCACCTCCCAGGGGCTGCACAGAGCGGTGGGGGAGACAGGAGAGAGAGGGGCAAGGAAGAGCCCCAGCCCCAGGGGAGGTTCCAGCCGGGGAGGACAGAGCTGTGCCTGCAGGGGAGCCTGGAGGGAGCGTTCCTGGGGCCGGGAGCGGCGAGGAGAGGCTGGAAAAGCGGAGTGGAGGATCTGCAGCTCTCGACAGTTGTCCCATGTGCCTGACGCAGTTCAGTGGAACGTAAGTTGGAGGGGGAGTTGTGTTTTGGTTTTGCTTCTGGTGGGTGTTTTTATAACTTCCCAGTAAACAGAGCCCTGCCTGGTTCTGGATGCACTCCCTATTTGCAAAATAATGAAAACAGACAAAAACTTGTACTGCAAAGTTCTTAACTGTCAGAATTACCTGCTTTAATCCGTTCATGTGCTGAGTACCTGCTCTAGAACAGGAACTGTGCTGTCCCTTGCAGCCAACACCACATCAGGGTACTTGGGCTGCCAGAGATGCTGAAAAAGTGCTTTTGGGCAGGTCCTCCAACCCTTAAAACTTTCAGCAGCAGGTACCAGTAAAGGCAGTTCTGCAGGGACTGCAGCTCTGCTGGGCACAGGAGTGACCCCCCCTAAGGACACGTGTGAGAGGGAGGGTAAGGAAGTGTCAATAAAGCACTGTGAGTGTTTCTCACTGCACACCCCCTGTGTTTGCAGGCTCTCCCAGCTGGACATCGATGGGCACCTGGCCAGGTGCTTGTCTGAGAGTGCAGATGATGTCATGTGGTAAATCCAGGAGAATGGAGAGCAAAGGAACAAGGCCAAGGATGAACCTCTCTCAAAGGAAAAGGAAAAATGTGTCAAGGAAGCACATCCTCGGCTCAAACTTTCGGATCACAAAGCAGTCAAGTGTCAAGGGTCTTTTTATTTTAAATCCTCTCAAATGCAGGTAAAGTAGTTCTAGTTCTGAAAATGGTGCTCTGGGGAGACCCCCAGGGAAATCAGGCCTGGTACTCCTGAAAAAGGGTACTGCTGGAAATCCCTGGAGCCCCTGCGTGGTCTGAGGCAGCGGAGCGTGGAAGCTCTTGGTGCAGAGGAAACAGCTGCACAAGAGACATCTGTTACCCTCATCTGAAAGTTTACTGGTATTTTTTACTAAACAGGTAATCTGTAAAAAGAAGTTTAATTAAAAAGTCACGTGAGCTTAGAAATTTTCATGATATTCCTATCTAGGAAGGTGTAGTTGTACAGCTGATTCTGCGAGTGTACCCATTTTAAACACCCCCCAACCCATATAAAGGGGGTGCAGGTTTCGTGTCTCTGAGGGGGCCCAGCTAAACTCACACCCTTCCTGGGCAGGTTTCTAAGTCAGTAGCAGTTTAATCAAGTGATTACCGTGACTGCTCTAATTAAGCTGCAGAGAGAACACCGGGCCAGCCCCGCTGAACTGCACAGGGAGAATGGGGCGGTCCCTGAGCCGAGGGCGGGTTCTGTGTCAGTCCCAGCAAGGCTGGGCTGGGACCCCCCGAGCCTGAGGGGCTGAGGGGGCTCAGCTGCTGCTCTGGGGATGCAGCTGAGCTGAGGCAGGGACAGACAAACAGGGGGGCAGGAGGGGCAGCCAGGAAGGCTCCTCTGCATTCCACTCCCCTGGGGTCTCTTGCAGACGTTGGACACAGCCCAGGTTACTGATAAATAATAACAGTCTGTTCACTTTCTCATTAAAGTCTTTAATAGATGTGCAAGAATATAAATGATCTCAGCTGTTATGGATTAGTATACCATCTTCTGCACAATTAAAACTGGTCAGCAAAGATCCCAACTAATTAATTATACAAAACTACAAGAACATATTTACTGTTTTACAATCATTAAATTAGCTAGAATTTCATTTACTATTTCAAATAAGACAACTATATATCATTACCAGATCCATTTGTAATATATTAGGATTTTTTTTTTCCAAACCACACATTTAATTACATCCTTCATTTTCTTTTATTTATAAAACAAGTACTTTATATAAAAAATTTCCCCTTCATCATGAACAGAACATTATTCAAACACTTGCACATGAGCAACCAAACTTGTACCCAGCAAACTATTTGGCAACACAGCAACATTGTAAATGCCTGTAAATTCTTAAATAAAAATCAAGTAGTCTTTACAATGTTTGTTTAGCAAAATGTGTCTTCCTGTTCTTCCTTCCCTCCCTCCCAAAATGTTCTGAAACCTAGAAAAAAAGGTTAAAAAAACCCCCAACCCACATTTCTTAATATTTCCAGTTTAAAGTTCCATGCCCTGGCATGTCAAAGGACAGCTTAACCTGTCACTTTTCCACTCATGAGCTGCCTGCAGTCACTCTGATCACTCCTGATCACCTTTAGTACCAGGGGAGCTGAAAACACTGAAAGAGAAGTTATTCAGGGTAAATAAAGTAAGAGGGAGAAGGGGGAAAGGGAGTAATTAAAAAAATGTCAGATTACATTTAAAAGGTAATGTTGCCTTTAGTAGATAATAAAGTATCTAAAGTCCAGGCATTTGAGGCAAGTACTTCTTACTAGTTAAATTATTTAGTGCTGATTAAAACACATCTTGCTTAATATGAAAAGCTACAGTCCAACAGAGAAACCCCCAACTGAAACCTGAATGGGATTCCTAGAACTCAACAACCACAGGTCTGCATAATTGTGGCTAATGAGGGGATACAAAACAGATTGTTAATCAGTGATTAATTACTTCAATGTTTTGGCAGTCTGGTCCTAGCACCTCATGACTTGGATGGGAATCCCAAAGATGTCATGTTCAGCACCGAATGCAATGCTGTACCCTGAGAAAACCAGAGGTTAATGGAAACAAAGTGACAGCGTCCCAATCGCTCCTGCCTTGGCCACAGCAGGGAGGGGCCAGGGCTCAGCTCTCTCCTTGGCTTCCTCCCCACAGGCTCCTTTCCCTCCTGTCTGCACAACCCAGCAGTGTCAGCCCCACACCGACACCCCCTGTGCCCTGACACCCCCTGTGCCCACGGGGAGCTGAGCCTTGTCCTTGCTGTCCCCCATTTCTGGGCATTTGTCTGTCTGCCATTAAAGGGCTTCACCACTCCCATGTGAGCTCTTCCTGAGCACCCCGTTCTGTGGCGCAGAGCGAGAGTTGTTAATGGACACTGAGGAAAGCAGACAGTTTACAGAAGTAGGAGGTGTGCTTTATCAGGAAAATGGATTTTATCTTATGGTTATTCTAGATTTACTACTTAAACTTTAAGGCTATGCTTTATTATGCTTTTGCTCTACTTCTGAATATTTGTACTGTTGATAAAAATACTTCTCAAAAATCTAATATACAACACAACATCATTGTAGGTGTAGGCACTGCTTAAGTATGTTCAGAAATCCTGTGTGTGCAAATTTAGTTTTCTTCAATCTCTACGTTTTGGTAAATTTGGAGTTTTAAGACAACAGATTTAGAAATCGATACTGTAGATTCTAATTTGGAATTAATCTCACGGAGTCACTCTGCATTCCAAATTCCATAAAAATACAACTAAACCTCAGGCTGCAGCTGTGAACTGTATGTTTCAGATGGAAATGGTTACTTAATATTAACAAGCAGAACTTACCAGGTGTAAGAACGTTCCAAATATGCAATAATCCTTCAATGCAGTTTATCCATTTAGGCACTTAAATCTTGTACCCAAATTTATGTTTTGATTGCTAATAAAACACAACTCCTTTTAAATATATCTGAGACGTTTAGACAGGTACCACTTGTGAAAAAAGGCATCAAAAATAAGCTTCAACACCACCGTAATATACTTTATTCTTCAGGATGTTACACTGGAATACTCTTCAACTGGGAGCTCATTGCATCAAATGTTTGTAGAAGGTGTGTGGATCTCAAAGTTTCTCATGATCTCCTTTTGCAGGGATGCAATGAACGCTTGAATCCTTCATGAAACAGGCACAAAATGCAAATTCCTTCATTAATGAAGCCAGTTGTGTCAGTGCCCAGAACTCAGGAATCACTAAGTGGCAGAGGACACCCACCAAAAGCGTTACTCTCTTCTTTGATTTGCAGCAGCAGATTTGTTTTCAGATCATTGGTCTCCATCCCGAGTGAGCAGTCCCAGCCTCGCATGCATATACTGGAGTTAAGGATAAATTAATGGCAGTCACACTGTCCCCAACCAGCTCAGCCCTTCATACTGTTTCTTCTGTTGACAGCAACAATGGATTAATATATTCAAATCCTTCAAATTCTGACTGATCTATTCGCTTTATGATATCTCTGAAAAACAAAGGAAGCAGGGGTTTAGTTCACCGGAGCAGTGTAAGTGATGCAAGACAGGCAGGTGCAGTGTGAGTTCACTGTGACACAGCTCTGCCCTGAGCCAGCACAGCCCCTCTGCAGTGCCTGACACACCCAGTGGTTACTGAGTGGTCACTGCAGGCGGGTGGGGGAAGCAGCACGTACTCATCGTCCGGGGTGAGCTGCACGGGCTCGCTGGTGAACTGCGTGTCGAAGTTGTCCAAGCCGTAATCGTCCGTGATCTGCGGCTGGAACGGAGGGGTCGTCTGCTTCTTCTCCAGCTGACAGAGACACGGGAGAGCAGAAATCAGGACATGGAATGGGACACCAAACCAACTGCCCCAAGTGCCAATGCAGAGGAGCATCAGTGCCCACGTCACATGGGGCACAGGCCGGGGAACAGACCCAGCACACCTCAGCTCTGCTGACAGCACAACCCCCAACAATTCAACAGACCCAGCACACCTCAGCTCTGCACAGCACAACCCCCAACAATGCAACAGACCCAGCACACCTCAGCTGTGTCTGACAGCACAACCCCCAACAATGCAACAGACCCAGCACACCTCAGCTGTGTCTGACAGCACAACCCCCAACAATTCAACAGACCCAGCACACCTCAGCTGTGTCTGACAGCACAACCCCCAACAATTCAACAGACCCAGCACACCTCAGCTCTGCACAGCACAACCCCCAACAACTCAACACACCCAGCACACCTCAGCTCTGCACAGCACAACCCCCAACAATTCAACAGACCCAGCACACCTCAGCTCTGCACAGCACAACCCCCAACAATGCAACAGACCCAGCACACCTCAGCTCTGCACAGCACAACCCCCAACAACTCAACAGACCCAGCACACCTCAGCTCTGCACAGCACAACCCCCAACAACGCAACAGACCCAGCACACCTCAGCTGTGTCTGACAGCACAACCCCAACAATGCAACAGACCCAGCACACCTCAGCTCTGCACAGCACAACCCCCAACAATGCAACAGACCCAGCACACCTCAGCTGTGTCTGACAGCACAACCCCCAACAACTCAACAGACCCAGCACACCTCAGCTGTGTCTGACAGCACAACCCCCAACAATTCAACCCTTGCAGTGCTCTCCTAAGCTGCCAGGCTGCACCCAGCACTGCACTCAGCAGCCCTGAGCCATCCTGAGCACACTGAGCAGTGTGAGGAGCTCCACACACAGCTCTGGTGACTAAACCAGGAGAAATGTTCCTGCTCCGCGTGTTCCCTTTCCCTGTATTTATTTTTCCATGTAGCTCAAGCTGCACAGAAGGAGTTTTTAGTCAGCATTGGACTCCTTTCCTTCTGTCTCAACTTGAAAAGAGTTGGAAAAGCTTTTAAGTCAAAATTTTCCTTTGAAATGGAGGGGGTGAGTACAAGATTCCAATAACTAAAAAAGCTTTCCAAGTAGTTTTTCATTTTCTCCTGAATGTATTTCCCAACACTTATTTGAGATTTAGCTTTAAATTTATCTGATGTGTTGATCCTCCCGAGCAGCACTCTCCTTAATCATATCACAAAACAGATCACCTCAGTATTTCCTGGTTTTTTAAAAAACCCTGCCCTGAACCTCTCGTGTCACTGCAGCCCTGCTGCCCCTTCCTGTGCTCCCCAGGACCATGGAATACTGCATCCCTGCTTTTCAACTGTTAGCTGGGTATTAAAAACACAGTGCTGATAGGGGAGTGCTCCTGACTGAGCAGTTCTACTGCTCAAGTGCCAACAAACATTAGGATGTCATTTCTGGGATGCTTTCCATGCTGAAGACAGAAGGAACACAATTACCAAGTAGCAGCAGATTAAAAAAACCCAACAATTTCAATACAATTTTATGCTTGCAAACCCACTGAAATGCAAGTCATCTACTCCCCCAGGATCCAAGAACCTCCCTCACAGCAGCAGTACCAAAGAAAACCTGAGAGCAAGAGAGACCCTTCATAAACAACCCCACTGCTCACAGGCCACATCCTGAACAGAGGGACTGATGCTGCTCACACCTCCTCAGCTTCCTAAACCCTGAGTGACCCTGATTTTAGGAGTGATGGAATTGGCAATCCTGACAGTTGACCCCATCTGTGAGTTGTGTTAATCACCCACAAACATCCCTGGCAAGGCAGAGGAGGTTTCTGATCCCCAGGAGCAATGAGGTGCTGGGACAGCATTCCAAAGGGCTGGCTTTTTGCACAGTCTGCACCCAGGGAATAAACGGTCCCACCAGCGCTTTCATGTCATCCAAAACTCACATTTTAGAAGTGATACCCCCCAAGCCATAGCCATCCTCAGAGCTGGGAAGCCAGGTCAGGTTTCTGGTGGTGGAACAAAGCTGTTTCCATGGGGGTGATGAAGGCAAGCCTGGCTCTCCACCCCCAGGGAAAGCAGAGCAGCTCTCCCAGCTCTGAGCTGCACTCCTGTCTGCAGGGGGGTGCTCACATGCACACAGTGGACACAGCAGAGCAGCTCTCCCAGCTCTGAGCTGCACTCCTGTCTGCAGGGGGTGTTCACATGCACACAGTGGACACAGCAGAGCAGCTCTCCCAGCTGTGAGCTGCACTCCTGTCTGCAGGGGGTGTTCACATGCACACAGTGGACACAGCAGAGCAGCTCTCCCCAGCACACCCCCACACGAGCAGTGGCTCTCACCAGATCCCAGTCGATGCTGCGGAAGAACGTGTGGGACTTGATGTCAGCAAAGCCTGTCTGGGGCTGACAGCCCAGCCTTTCTTTGGGATCCTGGGGGACATGGACCGTGTTACACCCTGCAAGCCCCAGCACTGCACCCTCCCAGCACCCACACACAGCCCCAGCACTGCCAGGGCTGTGCCAGCTGCTGCTGGGGCAAACACACCACAGCCAGCACGGCATTCTCGTTCTTGTTGTTTTAAAATAAAAGTTACTTGGAAAATTAATTTTTAAATGATACTTTACAAATTCTCAAAATAAGAGATTTATTTAGTAATGCATAATTCATATCCTTTTCTCCATTAATGATTCCACAGATTTCAAGCAGCTTAATTAAATGAGCAATAAGTATTACAGAAAAGAGTTTATAAGCAATCCTACAGTTATCTTTTTCCCAACTAAGAGCAGGCTTTTAAATCAAGTCCGTGCTGTGGAATTCCCTCGGTAAATTTGCAAGTAAGAAATGGGGTTTTTAACGTGGAGGATACCAAGGTTTTACAGATTTTCCTAAGGGTAAGCAGATTAACTTCTTAACTGTATCGCTTTCAACAGGAAGCTCTGACTTCCAGCTCTCAGATGCTAAAAATAAGAGAATGTTATTTACCTTGTTTAAAAATCCTTTTAACACGTGGGAAGCCTTGACAGAAAGAAACCTTGGAATCCGGATTGGCTTCTCAAGAATAACTGTTACAGGTTAAAAAACAGCAACATTGGTCTGTGACACCGACCATGACTTCAATACAAACACCCATCATGCCAATGTGGAACCAGTTGGAAAATGGGAAGATAAAGTAATTATTTAAAGCAAAGCTAACAAAGAGCTACAGTAATTCAAGGCACTGTTAGACTGACATTTCAAGATTTCCTAAGAGACTTGTTAACCATTATCTTTTGCTCCTGTTTAAACAGGAAATAAAACTTTCAGTGTCCTCAGTATATAGGAAAGAGTGTTTTTAAACAGCAGGTAATGTAATATGAATGACACCCTGTGACAGACTGTTACAGAGCTGCAGAACTGGTGTGGAGAAGGCTTTGCCTGTTAAGGACTGGGCAGCTGCACGATCCCCAGAGCAGCAGTGGGGGGTAACAATGGGACAGGAGAGCCCAGTGCCCCAAGCAAAGTGCCCATTGTCCTCCTCTCTCCCCCAGAACAACCAAAAAACCCCGAGGGGCTGTACCTTGGAAGAGGTAATCTTCAGTGTTCATGTCTGGATTGTCAGTGATGATGTCGAACGGGGACCGTCCCGCCATCATCTCGAACATCAGCACGCCCAGCGCCCACCAGTCCACGCTGAACCCTGCACACAACAAACACCATCACCTCCATCACCTCCACCATCAGCACACTGAACCCTGCACACAACAAACACCATCACCTCCATCACCTCCACCATCAGCACACTGAACCCTGCACACAACAAACACCACCACCTCCATCACCTCCATCACCAGCACACTGAACCCTGCACACAACAAACACCACCATCTCCATCACCTCCACCATCAGCACTGCCAGAGCCAGCACTGCACACTGAACCCTGCACACACACACACACACCACCATCACCTCCATCATCAGCACACTACATTTACACTGTCACTGGGCAAGTTGGAGTTTCCTGAGCTGGGATTACAAATGTAACCTGTGGGATCTCAATACATAACAGCACAGGAATGTAGAAATCTAAGAATGGTTGTATTTGAAACCCACAACTCGAGTTATGGTAACTGTGCAGTCAGAACTTACCATACTCTTCTCCTCTGAGGATCTCTGGTGCGATGTAATTTGGTGTCCCACAGAAAGTGCTTGTAGTGTCACCAGGGCCCAAACCTTCCTACATGCAGAAATCAGTTCAGAAATTAAAAGCTGACCTCCTTTACTGGGAATTTCCCTTCATTAGACTTAAAAAGCCAAGTCATGAGGGAGTCTAAAGAGCCTCCTTTCACAAAATAAATACTCACAGCATCACAACTGGTTATGACTCCACAGTTAAAACTGAGTCACAACATGTGTGCAACAACATTTTGCTCACTATTTACAGAGACATTTTAAAAAAAATCAGCTGAACAGTGTGGAAGTCCTTTCCAAAATGGATGCAGCACTTGACTCAACAGCATCACCAGAGGGACAGCTGAGGGACAACGAAACACCAGGCAAACCCCACCTTGCACATGCCATAGTCTGTTAATTTGATGTGGCCCTCTGCATCTAAGAGAACATTGTCCAGTTTGAGATCTCTGTAGATGATGCCCCTTTCATGGAGGAAGTTCAGAGCTATACAAATTTCAGCAGCATAAAACCTGAAATTAAAAAGGAGAAAATTCATGTTAGCATGAAGGTGGTACAAAAGCTGGTGCAATTTAAATGTCTGTTCTTACAAACATCACTTTACAGTCAACGTTTATCTTTCAACAGTATAACAAATCCAAGCCATGTTTATTCATAAGGACACTGATCTCTTATAAGACCATTCCCTAAATTAAATGTGAGAGATTATTTTTTTATTCTGTTAATTAAGAAAATATTTGCTCTTTATCTTTTATCTTTTGCTGAAAATTCCAAGTATGAGATGGGAGATCTGTGTTTTCAGCTTATAAAGTGAGACTTTGTGCAGTGCAGGGCAGTGCAAAATGGTTTTTTTTCATCTTCTCCTACCAACACTGTATTAATTCAACATAAGACCAAATTAAGTAGAATAGTTGCACTTTCTATCAACAGATCAAAGAGGCATTACCTAAATATGAAGCAATAAAGAGGAGTAAATAGGAATAACTGTTGCTACTTAAGTGCTTGCTCTATTTCAAAAAACCCTTCAAAAAACACCATTAACATTTCTTCCCAGGGCAGGACATTCTAAACTTAAGAATCAAGCTTGCTTTTTTTTTTTTTAATGCAATAAATTTTGTTAATTGTACAAACATGAAAGCACCACAAGCACTCCACGTGGGTCAGGAAATACCTTGCATGTTCTTCAGGGAGCTTCCTTTGCCGTTGCATATGGAACATGAGGTCTCCCCCATTTACATACTCTATGACAAGAAACAATCTGAAAGTATATAACACAGTTAATGGGTTCCAAGGGCACTCTCCACCAACTCAGAGAACTCACTTGGCCCCCCTCAGCAGAGTCTCAGCACTGCTCCCTGGACAGCTCCTGCTCTGCCTTCACCCCTGCCCCGCCACGCTGCCCGCGGTGCCCCCCTAGAGCTGGCTGGGCTGGGCAGGGACTCCCCCCAGCACTGCTCCCTCCCCACAGCCCTGCTGAGGGCTGGCAGGAGCCCGCCTGGGAGCAGCCCTTCAGCACAAAAAGAGTTTCAGGTCGTTCTTACCGACTCGTGGTCTGAAAGCAGGAATGCAAACCGACCAGGAACGGGTTACTGGATGCCTGCTCAAACACGTGTTTCTCTGTCTGTACCCAATCAATATCCTGCAACAGAGTAATTGAACAATCAGAACTCCTGCTGGATGAGCACTGGGGGTATGCCCAGTGAACACTGAGCATCTGTGCTGCCTCACACACACCAGCACTGTCCCAGAAACACAACACCCCCTGAAGCCTGGAGGCCGTTATTAAACACTGGCATTCCCTTACACGCTGAGAGGTTTCTGAACCATTTGAGAAAGCTCTGCACAGAATTGAAGCCCTTACAAATATCAGACATCTGCAATATTTGATACACTGCTCATTATGCTGCATGGAAATGAATTCAGTTCTCAGATAAGTGACCCCAGAGCTGCTGAAGCAGCTCATGCCAGTAACACCAGCACTGAGAATCTGCAGTTTTTAAAAGGTTCAAATAAACTGGACTCCATCTTCTCATCTGAAATTCAAATTTAATTCAATGAAACTGCTTAGTTGGTCCAGCCAAAAATCATTAAAAGCATCACAATACCTTTAATCCTTCACCAGGGAAAGTCCTGAATACCCAGTGCAAAACCACATCACAAAAATCTACTCAAGTCTAAATGTTCTGCAAACTCAGGTGCCTGATAAGGAAGCAATGAGCATTATTTCATGTAACCATCCACAATTTAAACCCTACAGAGAGTTTCAGCAGTAGAAATTCACTCCTCCTGCAATGCACTGATCATGTGTCACCCTGCCAATATAGCAGAAACGTAATTGTTCTAAAAATCCTCTATTTTCAGGATATCTGCAGATACTTCCAGCTCTCCAACCAATGTGGAGACAATAAATACAGGGAGTGAGAAACCAGGCCTTCCTGGCAGGGGTGGCCAGTGACACTGCAGTCCCAAAGGAACTAAGAAGTGTTACTATCAAACTAAATAAACCTGAGAGGTTTTGTGTTCAGACACTCTGAAAGATACAACACCTCGGAAGGGTAAAAATGGATCCAAACGAGAGCCAAAAGTCCTGCTTTGAATAAGGCAATAAATATGTCCACTTCTTTCTGGGGTTACTGAATGAGCTGCTCTTTAAATTAAGCCCAGGGAATGAATTAATCACACTTGTGTGCTCATGCATCAGTGCTGTACTAGTGCAAAATTCAGCGTAGAAAATTTCCCAGCTGAAGCCCAGGTATTTGATTTGCTTCTGTCTCACTTGTCTGCACTATCAACCATTCCCTGGAAAGCACAAGCCAATTGAAAGCTGCTGATCCTTGCTGTGTAATTGATTTTCCTTCCCCATGAAGCACTCACAAGGTGAAACTCCCATTACTCGCAATATTCTCAGGCACTCCCAGAATTCAGCGAATCTCCTATCAGTGCCCAGAATTTCATTTGCAGCCTATCTCAGGGAAGAGAAAAGCCAATTAGCTCAATCTGCTGTGTAATTATGAGAGCCACTGTTCAAGAAAGCCTCTTCTCATCCACCTCTGGTTCTCAGAAGCTGCTGCCTAACCCTGGAACAGCAGTTCAGCTTCTGCCTTCTTGGAAACCTGAAGAAACCACCCAGCACTCTCATCTTTGTTCTTGGAGGCAAACATCAAACACATGAGCAAGCCCGAGGATTTCAGAAGAACTGGAATAATGACAAACATGACAGCCAGAGCTACTGATTGAAACTACCAACACAAATAGTACTTAAACAGTGCTTGGGGCTTTTTTCCCTGAGCATCCTACTTTCAAAAAAGTGTGAATATTATAGGAAAAAGATGGAAGGGGTTGTTGAGGTTTTGGTTTTTTTTCCCCCCAAACTTGTGCATTTGAGATCTTGGATTAAAAAAATGTTAACAGGAATTTGGAAGGAATTGAGAAACGCAGCCCATTCCTGTGGCAAACAGAAAACAGAGACCTAGAGTGGCAGCAGCAGCACTTCTGAACTCCTGGAGAAAACATCCCAGGGTATGTGCCTCTTGCACACAAGCTCCACCAGCAGGCCTGTAAGAACACACTTTCAGCTCCTTTTCTGACATGCAGACAATGCTTTTGCCTCAGAAAACATCTTTGTTTCCTTTCCAAATTAAGTGCACTAATTCCCCATTTATCTCATCACTTACAGATTAGGATGTCCAGGTTGGAATATTTAATACATAAGTGCTACCAAGACTATTAATAACTGTTAATTGTTATTAAAACAAGGGAGATCTCTCTCAGATTTCCCCCTGGTGCTTCCTGCGGACAGCTGGGGACAAATGAGTTCCAAAGTCAGGAAAACTCTGACAGGAAAGTCTGAACCATGAGCTGCTTGCTCAGCTGAATGTTTCCTGTTACAGCATCCCAAGCTTTTATAACACGTAACAGAATTCAATTGACACAAACTTTTACCTCGTCATCATGGACCAGTTCCTTTTTCACCACTTTCATAGCATAGATCTGATCGTTCTTTTTTAACCGAACCAGGAGAACTTTGGCGTAACTTCCACGGCCGATAACTCGGATTAAATCAAAGTCCTGGAGTCCAAGCCCCTGAGAAATCTTAATTCCATCCATTCCATCAATGACTGGTTTGATATCCTGTATAAAAAGAAACAGATGCTGGAAACAGAGAACATTTCCAGAGCAAGTAACTATTAAAGCACTGGGCAGAATCTGCTGAGGTTGCTTGGCCCTGGACACAGATCTGAATGCTGATCACAACACTTTTTTTTAGAAGTGTTTGGTTTCTGTTGGCTTTGCTCTTACTAAGAGTTACTGGTTTTTCAGGGCATTAGTTCATCCCATGAAGCATTTCCACATTCCCTCCTGGGAAGCAGAAGGCAATGCCCCGAGAAATGGGCTTTGATTGGGATCCTTGAACCTCGAGCCACGTCGAATTTTCCTTTGTTCCAAGTGAAGAGCATCTCTCATTCTGCCAGGTACTCAGCACAAGTGAATAAAGGCTCTCCAAACCCAGGATCAGGGAACACTCATTTGCTAATGAATACACCTGCCTTGGGTTCAGTTTCTGTGTTCGGTTCTCCACAGTTTTACTGAAAATGAAGATTTCTAACAGGTGCCTGGGAACATATGGAAGCAGATCTCAATTTCTCAAGTGTGAGAACTTGCAGGAAATATTACACTTCCAGGAACGTTATTTTCAAATCCATTATTTAAAAAAAAAAAAAAAAAAAAAAAAGAAACAACGAAAAAAGAAACTTTCTCATCCTGCCTGCTGGCTGGAATTAGCTGTGGGAACGTGGGGCTGCAGATGGAGCAGCTGACCCAGACGAGTGCAGCAGGTTCTTGGGACGTGCCGGTTTTACCCATCCATCCACGGCTCTGACACACTTTGGGGGCCTATTTTTATCTGACCTCACACTACTGTACTTGGAGACAGATCAGCATTCTGTGCAGCCACGGCAAGCGTTTATATAAAGGATCCTGATCTGGGATTGACTGCTATTAGAAGAGATTGCTCTAAGCTGCAAGACTCCAGGCAAGGCTGCCACAGTGCCAGCTCCTCTCTGCAGGAGACCTGAGATGGTTTCAGGGCAGCTCAAAAGCCAGGTGGGACAATCAGAGCAGCAGAACCCGGGGCAGGTGAGCAAACAGCAGCCCTCAACATCCACAGCCAGCCTGAGCAGCAGCCAGGGCGGCAGCTACAGCCCTCTGATGTGATTTAATTTATACCCTTCCATCTCTGAATCTGAGATAACATCTGAAGACACAGGACTGAAAACAAGGCAGTCACCCAAGAGCAGAACTACTCAAGGGTGACAGGAGTGGTAGTGACAGGCATTGTAGGAAAGGGAGAAGGTGCAGCCTTGCTCAGAGGGGAATATCAGACCCTTTTAAAAGAAATGAATCAAAGCCCTTTAGAAATGAAGCATATTGGGATTTTTCAGACATTCTTGATGTGCAGAGATTGTGTCAGCCCTTCTATAAAAGAGCTGAAAAAAAATGAGTTCAAGTGTATGTTTTTCTACTTGTATTTCCACAGGAGCTGCCTATAAATGATTGGGTATTATTTCTATGAACCCTCTCAGAGGGCTGGTCAGTTAATGTATTATCAGACTGAACCAACAGCCTGAGGGTGACAGAGGGTGCACATCCATTAGGGACAGCACACCAGGCAATGTCAGAGCCACCATTTGTTGCAAGGGCCAATAAAATCAAACCCTCTGCTAAATCACTGTTATTCCAGCACAAACGAAAAGGAGAAAGAAAAGAAAAAGTATCTTGGATCATGACTGGGGTGACAAAAGCTGAATACAGAAGAAATCTGGGGAAAAAAAATCAATAAAAATTCAGAAAAAACACTCAGACTTTTTCAAAAGGTAGCAGAAAAAAACCAGGACAAATAATCAGCTTTTTTTATAAAAAGTTGACTGATCAGGGGAATGTAAATATGATTTACAAAGCTGTTGTAAAACCATACCTCAGAGTCATCTTTAATGGTGTCATGTTTCCGGCTGGAAGGAATGTAGGGAACTGGAAAAGAAACCAAGGCAGTTTGGTTACAAAGGCTCTTCTCAGAAATAACCTCGGAGATTGATAAACAGAAAGATGAGTTAGCAGCCTTCTCCCTGTAACGGGGAAGAGTGAAAAGTGGGCCTCCAAAGAGGGCAAGAGGAAGTGCAGAGCAGCCCAGTACTCACTTCCATCGGTGTCTTCCGAAGGGAGATCCACCTCGTCGTTCTTCTCTCCTATGCGCGGTTCCTGGGCAGGCATCACCGAATCCTTGGGAGCAGAGTGGCACAGGAGAGACAACCACACTGGTTAGGCAGCCCCCTTAAGTGACCGTGGCTTGCCTTGCAGCTGCAGCCCAGTGGCCACCTCACACCTGCCCCTTCCAGAATGAAAATGGGCTGTGTGGGAAGTGCTTCTGAACCTGAACATTTCTGAGTGTTGCCATTTTGTACTGCCTGAGAAAACCAGCCTGCAAACACTTAATGCTCCATCAGCCATTCTCTGCAACTGCAACAGATGTCTGGCTGTCTTCTGAAAGAAAGAGGGGTCTATTTTACTGCTAATTCAAACTTTTTTTCTATCTAAGACTTGTGTTTCACATGGAACTACAACAAAGTAAACACCTGAGCATGATGTTGCAGACTGCATTTAGAGCACTGGCATATTCCTTTCCTGCTTAACAAGAACATGGATTGTTACTCATTATGCAAGGGCATTGCATAAATTGGTAAAGATCACAGCAGCAGACAGTTCTACACTGCATGTGGACAGTGGTGTCATTCATGAGACACGTGGGACTATTCCAGGAGGGACAGCAACGGGCATAAATTATTTGGCAAAGAATTAGGAATGCCAAGGCAAGTCACAGGCAATACCACTAAAGAAAAACACTGCTTTAAGTCTTGAGTTAGAAAACCACACACCCACCAGTGAAACACTGGGGATGAGTATGGGAAAGGGCTAAAATTCAGGGATACAGCTGTTTAAAGCCTAGGGAAGACACCAGCATTGCCACTGGAATACACCAGAGCAGGACTGGAGAAACAGAGGGCAAGACCAGGAAGGCACCAAGCCCTTCTGCAACCAGCAGTGCAAAATCCACACCAGTGCCTTGGCTCTTCAAACATTCCCACAGGGAACAACTGCTGAGATTGTCAGTGACAACTCTACCTATCTGTCAAACACAAGATGTCTCAGGGAGAAGTCAAGTTCAAGCTTGAGCACACTCGAGTCACAGGGTGAGTTTTCTTTGCTCGCTTTGTCTCTGCTCTCAATCCAAAGGCTCGTCCTCCACAGACACCTGAGAAACCCAAATGCTGCCAGGGGTTACAGATGGACAGCCACGAAAATTGCTCAGGACACTTCCCCAGCAGGGCCAGGGTGAACCCCCTCAGCTCTGTGCAGACTGCACACTCACCATATGCCTCTTGCAGGTCAGTGGGACAAGGATGTGACAACGTTTATGGACCAACAGCTTGCAGTTGATACACTTGTAGCCTTGCCTTCCGAGCCCCCATATCCTTTCACTGCACTGGCCACAGTACGCTCTCTGCAAGGACAGGGGACACCATCAGCTCAGTTATCAGCTCAATTCCCAGCCCCTCTGCAGGGCAGTTATCCAGCAGCAAGAATCCCTCCCAGTCACCTGGCACTGTTCAGTAACAATAATTTCTGAACATCCAGGGTTTCCCCAATGACTGAAGGTTACACCTCACCCTCACAACTCAGCTAAATGCAGCCTTGTCTTACTGAATGTTCTGGCTTTGTCTGATGTCATTTGTATGATGTCATTTGCATGCAGATGTCAAAGCAGTCTCGGGTAGGATTGTGACACTCGAGCATCGTAACAAGGTATCAAAATCTCCATGTGTATGTTCACTATTGGCCTAATTTCAATTAAAACATCATTGTCTATAACATTTTGCATTATTAATGTGGCAGGTATGCATTCACAGTGTTTCAAAGACATGTTTGAACTGTGTAGCAAACAAATACAAGTCTATTTTCATACCATAAATTAAAGTGAGTTGCCACAGCACATTATACAAATGGATGTGACAATTCAGATACATGACTTAGATTTTTCACATATCTGGTGATAAGGTACTGAGTTTTAAGGGCCTTTTCCTGCTTTCAACGCAGTTTTGAGGTGGGGAACATTAAGAAAAAAAGGTAATTTCAATTTTTAAAAAAATTACTGCTGAATGAAAGAGTTGAGTGCCCTCCCAGCACTCAGTTTTTAGTGGAGTTCCCCAAAGTGCACACCACATTTGAATATATGCTGCAACACTCGGCATAACGGGCTAAGTGAAGGAGGTGTCTCAGCCTTAAAGCCACATTCACTGGCTGATGGGGCTCAAGCCAGACTCTCCAAAGGCAGCTGTGTTTTAGCTCAACAAACAGATCTTTAACTCGCAGATGATGCAGTACCCCAGATTCCAAACAGTTACAGCCCACAGAGAGCTGTGACTTTTAAGAATGACAAAGAGTCCTGAAGGTAGATTATGCTAACGAGCAGTCCAAGTCACACACAGGGAGGGCAGAGGGGATGCACCGCTCTGAACAGTCACAGCCTTTCCGAGGCTTCAAACCCAAATCCTTTCCACCGATCCCGTAGGAACCCCACCCCAGATTCAAAGCCTTGCAAGTCTCGCTGCTCGGTGTGACCTGAATAACGTGGCCCAGCCCGGCAGCCCCCGCCCCAACAAAGCCGCGGCCCCTCACAGCACTCACTCTGTTAAAGCGCTTGGCTTGGAACAAATGCCCATTCACTCGGTACAGCTTCCTCCATCTCCGGGCGCCGCGGCGGTAGATGGATTCTAGGGAAGAGACCAGAAAGGTGTAAAGCAGCAGCATGGCAGCTCAGCGGCACACGCAGCCCGTGCCAAGCAAGTTGTGCCCGAGAACAATCTCGCTTTGCTAAATATCAACGCACAGCTCCGGTGCCCGGGGGTTGTTAAGGCAGCCGGCAGTGACAGCCCGGGCAGGATGTGCTTTCACCGCTGCCTCTCCCTTTCCTGCAGCCCTGTCTCCTTTTCCTCACATGATCATAATCCCGTTACAGCTCCGGGGCTGCTCCAGCTCAGGTGAGAGGGACGAGTGTTAAAGGAACAGCTTCCTCAGGGAAGTGACGCTGCTGCTCTCCCTGTCCCCTTCCCATGGACACACAAAGGATCCTCGGTGCCAATAACGCTCCACACACACACCATTAACATGTTACAAAGCTGCAGCTTCATTATTTGACCTCCTTTTTATCCTGCCATTAAACATCACCCAGAATATTTCTTCTGTTTGGGCAGTTCGAGTACAGGTCTACGATTATTTTTAATACACTCTAAACATAACAAAGAATCATTTAATCTGTTTAAGCCTGGCTTTTCAAGAGGTCAAACAGGACAGTACCCAGCATCTACTCTAAGTTACTTTTGTTGTCACTGTTTACTTGCAGATGAGCAGTTTTTGTGTGACTGGCTATCTAGAGTTAAATATTTAATATCAAGCATGGTGCCACAGGGGCCCCATTTCGAGCTGGTGACACAACCAGGAGCAGGAGCTTCCCACGGCAGCTCCAGGTGGGCACTGGGGGAGTGGGAGGTACAGGGGGCTATAAAGACACAGAGAACTCATTGATCGACACCCTCAAAAGGCATCAAACTGTAGATTTATAACCCTCAGAAATTAATGCAATTAACTTTTCACCTTTAACGTTACTTCCAAGTTTTAAACATCCACACCTTATCCAAGATGAAGCCCTTTTTAAACAGAAAAAAACCCAGACATTTTCACTGTCAAATGATAATGCAAGTAGTAGAAAGTTCCTTTGTTGAGAAATTATTTTAAATTATATGGAGCAAGCCAGAACTCACAGGCTACTGACACACCATGTGTGAACACTGACTGCGATTCTGGGGCTGCTTTTAGATACTCTATTTTTGTCCCTCCAAAGCAAGACACATAAAAGCATGGAAGTTCCTGTGACTCCACAACTCCACAGTGCCAAATCCCCAAACATTCATACCTACTCTATTCACATGTGCAAATGTTTACTGTGCAAGCATCTGAAACAGATATTGCACTATTAAATGAATTGGTAACAATTTTTAACTAAAAATATGCCCAAACACGAACACCAATGAAGAACAACCCTTCCACCATTTGTAGGGTGACTTTTCACCAGGGGGAAAAATCTTCACAAGGGTTTTTTTTTTTTTCCAAAATAGTTAATTAATTCATTAGACAAAGCACCATATGGAGGCAAAGTAATACATCTGTGATCTGAGCATGAGCTTATCACCGACATGAGGAATATTAAGGGAATGATAAGTTAACGAGCAGCTTGTGCTGATGCAGCCTGTAAATAAAGGAGCAAGTCACCTCCCTAATTAATGATAAATATTAAATCAAAGGCAGGATTTTATATCACATACTTGTGAGGCAACAGTCTAACAAAAACTGAGCTTAATACAGAATAGCTTTAAAAGGTAGGAACCCCTACAATTTACCCCGAGAGGCAAATCAATCCCTACTGCCCCCCAAAAAGCGGCCAGGGTAAGAAAGGGGCTGATCCAGCACACGTGGATGATGGAGAGACCTGGAGCAGGGGGAACCCCAGCAGAGGCCAGGACTGATCCCAGCTCCCCAGCACAGCAGCACCACCACAAAGGCCTGACTATTCCATTACTGTGCCTAATGAAAAGGGCTACTTTTTAATTTATTTCACAGCACACATCAGTTAACTCATTAAGGAGTTGGAGTTAGCTGCTTGCAGGCTGAAGGAGATATCATAGCCCTAATTAAATAATCTTTCCTCTCTGATGAATACTAAACACAAGACTTTCCTAACCAAAAAAAAGAAGAAATTCTTCTGAATCCTCCTTTTGTATGTGAAGAGGTTTAGAGGAAAAATCAAAATATATTTTAAGCTGTTAAAAGGGATAACAAATTTTTATTGGGCTACATACATATATTCTAATGACAAAGCACATACTGAATTTTATCTACTTCCAAGATTGGAAAAAACAATTTCAAGTTAAGATTACAAGAGAAATAAAAATACCCAAACCAAAATACTTAAAAAGCAACGTGAAGCAACTGGCTGTTGCTGCTGTGCAATTCTTCCCTCTGTTGTCAAGCTGTGCAACTACATCACTACCAGTGATGCACAGGGAACCCTGGAAATACATTTAACATTGGCTTTCCAGAGACATTCCCTAGGGCTGGGGTTCTTTTCACAAAAGTCCAAATAAATACTGTTTAACTGTGGCTGTAAATAGGTGAGCAATTCATCTGCTGTTCAGTGGGCACTCCAAACTAACTCATCTACAGAAGATTCCATCATGAGCTCCCCAGGAAGGAGGGGACCCTTCCTTTGGAAATGTAACCTGGAAAAGTGGGGACCAAGAGAAGGCAGCACAGTCACCTTCCAAATGACACCCCACTCGGGGCAGAGCAGGGAGTGGCCCCAGCAGTGACCCCCCTGACCTGGAGTCCCCGTGCAGCCCCCGGGATCAGGATCTGCATCCAGGGCTGCGGCTCCAGCGTTGCCCCCCTGAGCACAGGGGTAATTTGCTATTGCTGCAAATCATTTCTCAGAGATTAATACAACTTGTTTACAGGCCAATTACCCGCCCTGCCAGCTGGACACTACCAGAATGGCCAGTTTTTGTTTTGTTCTGTTAATGCTGTGCTGAGCACACAAGTGAGCATTCTTTCAACAACAACTCCGGAATTACAAGGGGGAAATTGATATTGGGGTTTCAGAGAGGCTGGATTTGATAAAGGAACTCCATATAAAGACAGAACACATTTGGGGAAGGTAAATTCTGAAGGACTTGGAGAGCACACTGCTTCTCATCTGTTACATGAGTTTTTGAAAATATTTAATTGAAACAATAAAACTGCTTTCTGAAAAATGTAAAAGAATCTCGGGATGGGTTAACTGGCCCTTCTTTTTATTATGAATAAACTTCTATGTACAACTGAAGTTAGAAAATTAAGAGTATCCTTAATATACAGGTATTAAGTGCTCTGAATTCTTGCAGTTACTGTAAACATTAAGTAGTCAGAAGACTGCCTTTTTATTTTCTTTTACATTTACTTTAAGACTGATTTGCAGTTGGGAAGCCACCTCCCCATCCCCCTTTTCCAACAGACACCAAAATTAACCACAAAGTCAGATCAACCTCTATTAAAACAAAGCACAATTAAGACAGCAACAGTGACCAAGGCAGTGCAGGACCAACAGCAGAGAACCAAGGAGGAAACAAATCTGTCTCACCCAACAGGAATATTTACCCAGCATTTCCTGCAAGGCTGTGAATGTCCTGCCCCACTGCCTGAGAGGGGCTCAGCAGTCCCAGCTGTGCTCCTGCAGCACCTGCTCTCCTGGATGCTCACACTCCCATCCTGCTGCTAAGATGGCTCCGTGGCACCGCAAGGTGACAAGTCACGTTACAGACACAACGCCACAAATAAAACACAGCTCACAGCTCACTTGGAGCAAGGCTCTGACTCAGAACTCCATGACTTCATGGGAGATTTATCAGATGTGCTTGAAAATAACAAAGTATTGCAAGTGTTAGGCAAGAAACCCTCCCTGAGTTCAGTCCCTGAGTGCCCTGGCAGTGACAGTGTCCTGGTTCTGACATCTCTGAGCACGTCAGGGACCACAACCTCTGCATGTCCTTCCAGCCCCTCCTGCTGCATTTGGCAAGGCTGTCCCAAGCACAGGATAAGATGCTGCTCTAGCTGTTACTCTGATTTAAAAGAGCATGTTATGAAAAGAGCCAGAAGACAACTGGTGCTGGATCCCCACTTTGAGGGTGATGAGCATCTCTGTTTAGGAAAGAAAGAACTTCCCATTTTCCCTTCATCCCAGGCCTTCCCTGCAGTTGGAAGTTCACCCCTTCCATGACGTGCAGTTGCTCCTCTGGTTGCACAGTCCCAGTGGTCCCAAACTGGCACTGCAGTGTTAACTTTCACTCACAGATTTACTACAATGAAAACGGAGTTTCATCTTCTATTAAGATCCCTGAAGAGCTGCATCAAAACATTCAACCCATGCTGAAAGATACTGAGCCAGTACTTATTGAAATGATCTAATTCTTTAATTTAACTTAGTACTGAAGGAGATCAAAATGAAGTTCTGAACATCTATCTGTGGCATCTGCATCCACTTTGCAGGCCACTTTGTGTTCTTGACACAAACTCCTGTGTGTTAGTACACACATGCAGCAAGACTTCCTCTTCTAAACCAAAACCTGGGAACAGAAAGCCTCTGTCTTCTACACACCCTGGAATTACTGAAGGAGGCAACCAAAGAAGTGAGGAGCAACTCAATTTCCTCCACTTCTTGTCCTGTAGGAAACTGAACTGATTTAACTCCCCTTGCCTGTCCCTGGCAGTGACCTGTGTGTGCCTCTCCTCCCAGCACACCTCAGTTTGCTGCTCTGGGCTTTATCTCCCGTTCCTGGAGCCCAGCAGGCCCTGGGGGGCTGCACAGCTGTCACCACACTGAGCAGGCCAAGGCTCCCCCAGTCCAGCTGAGCAGCTCCCGAGGTCTCACCCCAAAATGTGGGTTCTCACAGCCCAGGGATGAACACTGAGGAGCCCCCTGACCTGCCCTCAGTTCAACATTAAAAACCACAACTGGCACAGGGCAACTAATTTCAAAAAGTATTACACAGAACCCAAGTATAACAACGTATCATTAACCACGACCATACAATTTAGGAGGTTACATATTAAAGAGCTCTTCCAAGCTACTGGAACTCACAGGCCTAACTAGGGCTTAACAGGCTCACAGATGTCCAGTAATTCC